CGGAAGGTAGGGGTTTACATCCTTCCTGTATAAATCCGAATTCATGTCTGCAATTTTTTCCATTTAATATTGATTAAATTTAAGCAAAGGATTATGAATGCTCAGCTTCTTTACTACATGAAGAGTAGATTGATTTTTTCTAAACAATAGTGGTTTTGGACGTGTAAACATCAGAATACTTTCACAGTCTGTGAGCAATAAAGTCCTTCGTTTGACAAAGACAAAGCCAAGGTTTGCATTCCAAGTCAGGGGTCAAACATTTTGTACTGTTCTTCTTCTTTGTTTTTCAAGTGTCTTTCATAAAGTTTATTAATTCATCATACAATTTCCAAAACAAACACCTTCAATAAGACGCAAAGGACAATAAAAGGATGGTTATAATAAGAAGGCTAAAGAACTGACCGTGTTCTGACTCTTCTATAACCTTTGACTCCTTGGCATGATGAGCACAATTGAGCTTTTTTTTTGCACCAAACAAACTCAAAAGCAATTCTGACATGATGGGGTGTAACCTGTTGGGTAATCTGTCACAGAATTAACCAGGAATTGGAATACCAAATGTGACGCTGACTTTTGGCTCTGTTTTGCTTGAAGACCCCACCAATGTAGATGACATGCAATAACATAGGAACAAGTAATAGGTTTATTCCATGCTGAAAAAAAGAAGAAAGAGAACACAACGTTTCGGCCGTGGAGCCTTCTTCAGGTGTGCCGAAACGTTGTGTTCTCTTTCTTTTTTTCAGCATGGAATAAACCTATTACTTGTTCCTTTGCAGCCTACGCATGCTGACGCAGCTACCCACCTGATGCAATAACATAGTACAGTATAAATATTATCCTGAAGCACTAAATTCTTTCTGTCCTTATTATCCCAGTCAGACAGATACCATTCACTTTTCCCTTTTGGATGCATTTGTACTGAAAGTGCAGCTCCTGTATTTGTTATTTTAAAAAATATTTAGGCCTACAACTTCTGACTTAAAAGAAAAGAATCGGCTTTAATATTTTTTTTACAAAAAAATAGTTGCACCATTTTTGCCAAGCTGTACTAGCTCCATAGTCAGCATTTAGAATCTACATATTGCGGTCTTACACAGAGACAAATGCTCCAGTAAAGTGCAAGTGATGTATTTTACAATATGTATTAGTGTAAGTGACAGTATTCCAAGTTAGTCACACACAACACTTCTCCTTCAGTGTCAGGGTACAGAAGCCAATTAGCCCCACAGAGGAAAAAAATATTATTGGGTTTTAACAAGATAACATTTTGGTTATTTTGCAATATTTCTTACATTATTATGAGATAGAACTAATGGGTATCTGCATCAGAGACTTCGATCACACAAGTATTTTCTCCTACGAGCATGCAGAATTTGAAAAACAGTCCTCGGTGTAAAATGAACACGAGTTCTTCTAGAACACGAGAACTTCTAAATCCAAGTTTCTATTATAGTGCTTGTGACCAACAGGCGAGTTGTGACATTCACAAACTTCAACGCATATGTCATGTTGAATTAAATAGTGCCTATAGAACAAAAAAAATCTATCAAAGAGCTTACGTTGTGAGATCAAAATTAAAACAGGAAGAAGCAGAAACTTTCTTCTCAAATCACTGGTTGTACTTTGTTTTCATTCCTGTATAAGAGGAATTGCTGAGAGAAAAGGAGGTAGACATTGTGAAAGCAGTTATCTATGGAAAACTTGTGTACCCTGAATACATAACTGACAATGCTGCTGATGGTATTTTACTGTGCAAAGTGGAAAACTTTTTAGTGCACTGGCAAGAGTAGACAGAAATGAATTCCTCATATTTTGGCAAGGGAGTGTCATTTACTGCTCAGGAGTACCGCAAAGTTTGAGATCTCTGAACTGCTGAAGCATAGTGAAGCACAGCAAAGTGCTTCAGCTATGCATATTGCACCTCATTCTCACAACAATGGCAAGGGAAATAGATATTTCTAAACTTTGTATAAAGTCGCTGAGAACAAATACAGTTTAGACCACGTTTGTAAGCTCTAGGCTCTAGTTCCTGGGTGCTTGCTCTTTGTCACAGAAGCGGTTTTCTTTCTTAAGTCAGTCTGTGCATGAGACCGTTCATGTGTATGATTGATTGATTTGTTTAATTGTTTCAGTAGATTAAATACCATCACATCACTACATGGTTTAAGCAAGCTCTAAAGATCTAAAATGTCTGCCTTATTCAAACCATATAAGCATTCTCTGGACAACAGGATGCATGAAGTTAGAAAAAACAAGTATATATAACAAGTATCCCCTTGTCCTGTTTCAACTGGATAAGCAAGTTAAAAATAAATCCTAAAATAAAAAATAGAAATAATATGATAATAAGTAGAACTGGGTGCCGTGGGCGACCCTGGTCTTGTAGTGATGCCCTCAGTTTCCAGGGTGTTAGCTGTGTCTGGTCCCACTGAGGAAAGGAGCTAGCGCCTCACACCTTGGTCATCTCGAAAGCCGATCTGGTGCCGCGACCTTAGCTGCTTACGGGGTTGCACGCACGAGAAACAAAAATGTTGAAATCATTGCGGGGGAGTAAGTCCTCGCAGTTTTCTTGGACAAAAAAGAAAAGGAGGAAACGCTGCCATTTCTGTCTGGCGCTGCCACGCTCCAGCAGGGTGGCATTTCCACCATCGCGTTCGAGCGCTGCAGGGCTGCCATCTGCATCCATCTCAGCCCTCCGGATGCCAAAGACTGCATCACAGAACAGGCAGGGAGGACAGGGCTTCGCTACACGACCTTTAGCTTGAAAGGGATCCATTTAAAATAGCATATGGATAAATAAATAAAGTGTAAGTGAACTGTAATTGGCCAGGAAGTGTGCCAACACGGGATCGGTTACAGTATAAGCTGGTAAAAAACACTTGGCACCACTTTGGATTGACGACTGGAAAGTCCAAAGTAGGTAGTCTCGTTCTTGTGGAACTTCTTAACATGATTTTGATTTATTTTTATTTTTTTTTTGGAAAACAGGAGAGGAAAAGCTCTGAAAAAAAAGACCGAAAACGTATTTTCTTTAATAGACATGGTTGTCTGCTTATGGCTCAAGCTAGAAGAAAGCTGTGGCTTGGCTTTCCTGTCCCACAGCAGTGAGTTAGACCTTTACCCTTAGGTATCTGCAGTACAAGTTATTTTTCCTTGCACTTCACCTCACTATCCTGTTAGGATTAATGTTTCAAATTTTGGAATTTATGGCAGCTTTCTGAAATGTACACAACGAAAACTTCCCTGTAACATGGGTTTTCAACACCTAGCATTTGTTGAGAATAATGTGAAATAAAACTTGTTCTGTGGAACTTTCACTGCACAAGATAAATGGCTTTTCCTTGCGCCAAATATTAAAGCAGAAAACAAATGGATACTCTATAAGAAGTGTTTATTCTCCAACATAAACTGGATAAGAATCGACAGCATGACAACATAGTGTGAAACCAGCAACTGCACATAAACTAATGACAAAGGCTGCAACAGCCTAATTGTGTAGAAAAAAACTACAAAGCCTAGAGTAATGACTTGACAGCTGGCAAAGGTACAATATGACACAAAGCTAAAGCATGCAGTTATACAGCCACATTGAGAAGATACATGAACCTGGCTATTAGTTTGTTTTCAGTTACACAAGAGTACAGTACAACAGAAGAAATTACAAACAGAAGCCTTCCAAGACTGGGGGACCAAGTAAAGCATCCACAAAACCCGAGAGAAAAATTGTTTCAGATGGTGGCAAAAACCATAAACCACCTCAACATTGGAGGCACTCAGGAATTATTTGGATGAAAGAGAAGCATTTCATAGGTGGTTGGGTAGAGCCTAATACAGAAAGAAATGGATCACTGCTATGGCACCTACTTATAGTGGGCATTCTCAAACAACTAAGCTACTGAATTTAGTTTAATCTTTGCCTTTTGCAAATAAATCAGAATGCATTACCCAAATAAAATTAACCTTGTAGAACCCTACAGTTACCAATGCTTTGTGACTCAAGAAAAAAAAAGCTATTTACAGAAATGTGAGTAACATTCTTTAAAAAAGTGTACTAGATGTGCTGAACCATGCTTTCAGTCATCAGAGAACATTACAGTTCCTAACTGTCTTTTATTATATGGAGTATTTAGATTTCCTTATACATTTGTCCATTATTACAAAGTACAGTTAATAAGTAAAGTATATTTGTGGATCATCCACTAAGTATGCTTCCCTCTGAGGAGCTTGTTTTTCAGCATGGTTACTCATGTCCACAAACCTTTTCTATGCTGGCACAGGTAAGGATTAAACTATAACGTAAGGATTCTTGTAAAATGATCTGTGTGTTAAGAACATCTTCTTAGCCCCAGAATATTGCCATCTTCATTTTCCTGACATGCCTAAGGGTTTTTGATGTTGTTGATGATTCTGAGATATTTGCCCCAATGTCAAAATTCCACACGCTCCAAATAATGGTGCAGAAATGGCACCATTCAACATCATTTTATGGGAGGATTCATAGCCATACAACACTATGACAGACATATCAAATTAAAATTCAGTGGTCAAATCCAATTCAAGTGTGCACAAGTTCAGAGATTGGTAATGAACCAGAACTGAAAAATATCTCAATGTTTTGCATTTGAATTGTAAATGACATTTTTTTGTGAATGGGATTATCAATTCCATATTAATTTAACTAGAAAATACACATTTTGCACACAATTATTGTATTGAATTGCTTCAATCATTCACTGGCTATGGCTCAAGGTCGTCAAATAACTTTAGCAGAAGCTTTGTAGCATCTAGACACTCCTTCCAAGACCATCACACTTACTGTACATCTCCATATTGACTGGCCTGTTGTACACAACACTTTGTGTATCATTCTGCATGGCTATTGCCATACTTACTGATGTCTAACAGGGTGGTCTACACCAAACCTTGATTCAGCACTAAAAAGTAGTTGGCTCTACTGCTGGCATATCTACAGAGATTACTTAGATTAGACTCCAACATACCAATTGCACAAAGGCTTTGTTCTCTTGATAAGCATGGCATATTGGTTTTCTGTGTTTCTTTCTTTATGTTCACCAGGCTTGGCATTCAGACTTCTTAAATCATCTCCTTACCTGTGCCACATCAGCTTGCTCACTAATGAAACAATAAATGAATGAATCAATTAGTCATTATTGCCCCCAACACATTTAATCAAATTCCAAAATCTCACAAATGTATTTTTCTAAAGTGTGCAAGCATAAATATAATATTTTTATGCTTAGTTAACATGTGTGAGACTGGAATTGAAAGCAATGATTTGGACAGAGAAATGAACTTTAATGAGTTTTACTGACTCTCACTCTGACAAGTAGATTATTGTTTGAAAACGTCTTACCCAAACATAAAGTGTATTCAGTGGCTTAATCACTTTCAGATGAACAGTTCCAGATATGAGAAGGCCATTCAGCCCATCTAGTCAGTTAAATCGTTAGCACTGCCTTCACCAACATGGCTGGGTGGCTTGTAACATACTCCCACAACCTTTTTGGGCAAAGAAGTGCCTAATCTTTGCAGTTTTCTTTCCATATGGTCTCCTCTCGTGTCCTAAGGTTCCTGTTTCACTGCAGATTCTGAAAAAAATCCAGTGGGTTCACTTTGTCAGTGCCTCTGAAGATTTTGAATATGTGTACCAGGTCCGCTCATAGTCTCCTGTATTCAAGACTTATTTCAGTTTCTTTGGCCTTTCTCTGTAGGCCATTCCCCTAAGACCAGGAATGTTTCTGGGCTGAGTTCAGAGCAGGAATATCTTTTTTATAACCCACTGCATTGACTCTCCTTACCTTTAGAGTACATTCTCCTACACCTGAAGAACTATACTTCTAACTGTAAGTTTTAAAAGAAAGGGCTTTACTCATCCCATCACCAGATAACAGAAGCAAACAAGTCTTGGATTAATACTGTATGTGTATCTCATGCCAAGATTTTCCATTAAATGCTCAATACAATAAGAATCAGGTACAATTCCTGTAAAAAGAACTTTTAATTTCATATTTGGGAACTTAGATTGCACTGTTGCTGCAAGGTCACAAAAAACACTTTCTTTCCATGCACATCAGTCTGGGACTCTGTACTATTGCTTTAAAAGACTATTTTCCAGAAGCAAGAAAAATTTCAGCAACAGACTTTTTTTTCCTTTATGAGTTCGTGGGGTTCTACTTTTCATCCTCCTCTGTCAATTGAGGGAAAGCGTGTCTGTGTCTATATGTGCCCTACAATGGACTGATGTCCCATCCAGGTGTATCCTGACTTGAGCCTGGATGAAGAGGTTAAAAAAAAGGATGGATAATGTTAAAATAAATCAGGAACCTCCTTAATCTCGATCTAATGTTATCGACTGTTGCTTGACAAGTTTATTCCAAACTCCTTTCCATTGCACAACAAAAATCTTAAAAATTGGTTTTCCTTAAACAAAGTTTGTAATAGTAGGAAATTGGCAGAAAATCAGATTAGAAAATTAGAAGAAAAAAAAACAGAAAAAAGAAGATTTAAGGAAAAACATTCCCAATGGAAGTAATTTACCCCAGAGTGACAATATAAGGCCCTGCCATCATTAAATCATTATTAAGCCTGGGGAAATGGCTGGTCATATTGAAAAGTTGTGCTCCTTTAAATTAAAAAAAACTCTGGTTCATACTGTAAAACTAGACAACTCAATCATGTTTTTAGTTTTTAGTTTGTTAGAAAAAATCTTTCCAATGATACACACTGGCTTAATCTGCCTTATTTAACCTTTTGAAGTACCACAGAGTTTTGAGGCAAGCCAACAGTCATTGTTAAATCAAAATTTAATATAAGAGCTGTTCATTGCATATCAGAATTTATAGGATCTATAATGTATTTGCGTATTATCATAAACTCCTTTTTGCCTGAGCTATCTGAAAGTGATGACACACACTGAGGATTTTGCCCCAAACAACTTTTAGCCACTCTTTGATAGCACATCCTACATCCTGAATCCTTGCTGAGAAACATTCCTCCAAAATGTCAAAATAAAACATAAACGGATAAGGCTGGCAGTGCTCTGTTCAGGAATCAGCTTTCTGTAAAAATCCTCCACTAAACAATGTTAACACCAGTTACCTTGTCCATATTTAGAAAAGCCTCTATGTCCCACAAAGCCTTACCTGTTTAAAATGTTATGTAACATATTTCTGTTATTCTGTAACTTAATCTAATGTAATTTCTATAATCTGCAACTGCTATAATTTAATTACATAATGTTTTAAGGTTAAGGTAGTCTGTTGTTAGGTTTATCACACCAAATTCACTAATACTTAAAATTGTGTCTTTCTGGCTGTCCCAAGCAAAAGTATTTGCAAATAAATAATTAGCCTTCATTTTCGAGAGCCGTCAATCAGAACTCTTCCAATTTCTAAAGTTCTGCACATTTTTAAGATGTCTGTAATGGATTTAACAACCATATTCGGTTAAGACTCCAGAAAAACTTGGACACCATTTCTGTAAAAGTGCACCAAAATCATCATTGGAGAATTATGCCCTTGCTGCACAAGATCAAGTCTTCTGCTTTTCATCCACGGGAGAAACATGGTTGTTTCTTTACATTCTTTTCAGTGTGTGTCAGAAATGAAAATCACTTTCTTCTTTGTATTTTCTGTTCCACAAATACAGAGATCTTACTTAGCAGGTCTAATAAGGCAGCAAACCACAATAATTGCTCTGATTTCATTCCCTGTTACACTACTTGCCCATTGGTGGCTCATTTGGCCTGCTCTTTTATTGTTTTACAGAATTATTTATGTGACTCAAGTCAGCTGGATTTCCTCTTGGAGCCTTAATGCAACAGGGGAGTTACATAATTCTTTATAACTGTATCAGTGGAATGTATAAAAAGTACATAAAGAGCATCAAAAAAAGAAACAGGTTGAATGATGACTTATAAATATTTATTACGGCACACCAAGGTAAAAGCACAGGAAGGATGATAAAACGAAATTATGGAAAGCACAGAAAGGTGCACAATGATTGGTATGACTCATCTCAAAAGTCCAAGTCCTAAAGTGATACATAGGAGTCAACATATTTATTCATACAGTATACCCTCTATGAATTGTAACTGAAAGTTGATTTATCATGAAAATCTAGGTGTACATTCAGCAATTTTGGATAGAAACAAAATAACTTGTATGATTTCAAGATGTAAGATGTAGAACAGATGATCTGATAACATTTTTAAATGCATGGAGTTCAACTTTATTCATTTTTAGAACGGTCCTTTGACTTTGATAACATTAATGAGGCACTACTGGTAAAGTTCTTAAATTTGGTTCTTAAATTACTGATGAGGGACATTTGAACAGTTCTCCATACAGAACATGGCCAGTTTCTCTAGGTTGCATGACATAAACTTAAAATTACCTACTAGAGACTATGATAACCAATCAAGAAAAGTGCTCTATTCAGGGACACATAAGAAACACTGATTTTTATTTAATCTTTTACTCAGTTTGAGGCACACCTTGTATTAAAAACACTTTCAAGCTTATTTAAAGCCATGTTTGAGATTCATTACAAACGGCAACAGTTTGGGCTAAAAAATCTTAGAACCTTTATAACCTATTTGTTCCTTAGTTCTAACTAGGACAACAGGACCAAAAGTAAAGCCGAATAGACCAAGTCAGAAGGGATTACATTATTTTTCACCATGATCTTCATCTTTCTGTTTCTATGGGACTATACACCCCAGATTCACTAGGTCAACCTCAGATGGTAATTTTGGAGACAGGATATTGTGACGGTGCTGCAGAATTCCGAAGATTCTCAAATATTCCCCTTGGTGTGATGTTATCTCCCATAGCCATGTTTCTACCCGCAGGCTGGATCTTAAACTTTCTTACACCCTCTCTCTGGTGCAATATTCTTGAACATTTTTATGAAAGGCACCACAGTTAAAGCTGTCACTATTTTAAATTAGTTTAAATGTTTTTATATAACTGACTGCATTTGGATCAGGTCACTGATATTTTACTGTAGATCACCATTTAAGTGGAGGCAGGCAGTTGGGACAAGCAGCCCGAGCAAGTCCACACAGCCCCAGGAGGTGTTCAAATCCTAATATGAATGCAGGTGGTTTCCATAGAGACTGAGGGTTGCAAGTTCTAGCTCGCTCAGGTGAAACAAGATGTTTAGATGTTTCTTATCTTTTCTTTTCTATGATGAGTGTCTTATTTCTGTGTTCAATCTCCTTAGATATCCAGTGCCACCATAGTGACCTCTAGAAGCTTCTAGGAACTTTGAGAAACTAACAGGTAACTGGAAAATGTTAGAGGATTAAGTATACAGCAGCTCTTTTCAGCACGTTCCAGATATGAATAAACCAGAATATTGTGCACTTCAAAATATGCAGTGCTACACAATAATATCCAGCCCTTCCAATGATGTTCTATTTTTGTGAATTACTAATTATGTATGATTGTTTTTAAATGGTATATTTTCAAAACTTAAATAATCAATTTTAACACTTTTAAAGGTGAAATGAGGCAGTCAATAAAAGCTGCAAAGAAAAATCCAAAACTAAAATACAAATTCCATAATTTATCACACCTCTCAGTCAATACAGCTGCCCTTTTTTTGAATAAGTCTTTGCCAACTTTGCAGATTGAGATGGTGCAATTTTTACTTATTCTTCTTTACAAACATGCTTCAGCTCTGTCACATTGGTTAAGTATTTTTTAAGTATTGGTTAAGAACTTTAATCTTGCCATAGTCAGGACTTTAACTGGACTGCTAAAGGACATTCACTTTATTCTTATTATTCCAGTGTAGCTTTAGCTACTTCACCTGTATTTTGCTCCATCCATTTCCCCCCAGTCATGGCAGGCCTCTCAGTACCTGCTGATGAGAAGCAGTCCCATCACATAAGGCTGCCACCATAATACTTGACAATGGAGATGGTGCTGACTGGTGTCTGATTTGCTTGCTGGTTTGCATCACATGAACCCCCTTGCTTTTAGACCAAAAAGTTCGGTTTTGTCTCATCTGACCACAAAGCCTTTTGCCACATATGAAGTACCACTTAAA